CTTATTTCCTTTTGGTTGTTTTATGTGTTTATTTCTTTATTTGTTTATTTCTTTACTTGTTTATTTGTTTACTTGTTTATTTCTTTATTTGTTTATTTCTTTATCTGTTTATTTCTCACGTTTCTTTATTTGTTTATTCCTTTTATTTATTCATTTATTTATTTTATTTATTTAGTTTATTTCTTTACTTCTTTATTTCCTTTTATTTCCTTATTGGACATTATTCGTTTATTTATTTTTGCTTTTCTTATTTCTTTTTTGTTGCCTTATTTCTTTTTCATTCTTTTAATTCTTTCATTTACTTCAATTGTTTATTTCTTTCTTTTTATTTTTTTATTTCTTTTTAATTTCTTTTTAACTTCTTTAATTTCTTTTTTACTTTTTAATATCTTTTTAGATCATAGCTACTGTCTGGAGTGCAGCTGCGACAATCCCACTACAGGTGCGGCTGAAGCAACTGCTCTTTTGCTTCTTTATTTGCTGCTGCTGCTGCTGCTGCTGCTGCTGCTGCACTTATTTGCTGCTGCAGCATCTGCTGCTGCGTGTCCCTCAAAACGCTAATTTCACATTTGCGTTTTTCCCCTTTTCTTCCTTCCTTTGAACTGCCGCCTCCTCACCTGCTGCTGCTGCTGCTGCTGCTGCTGCTGCTGCTGCTGCTGCTTATTGCTGCTAAAGACTGTGCTGCTCTCAGGCTGCGGGTGGTGAGCTGTTGCTGCTGCTGCTGCTGCTGCAGCAAACCGCCAAAGGCCGCAGGCTGGCTTTTGGGGCTGGGCGAATTCAGTGCACCTCTTGTCAGTTTCTGCAGGCGATAACTCGTGGGTCATTTTAATGAATTAAATGAATTAAATAAATTAAATGAATTAAATAAATTGAATGAATTAAATTAATTAAATTAATTAAATTAATTAAATTAATTAAATAAATTAAATAATTAAATAATTAAATGAATTAAATTAATTAAATGAATTAAATGAATTAAATAAATTAAATAAATTGAATGAATTAAATAAATTGAATGAATTAAATTAATTAAATTAATTAAATTAAATAACTAATCAATCGCTTATTTAATTAATTTAATTGCTTCAATTGATTTAATTTAAATAATTTAATTCATTTAATTCATTTATTTTGTATTTTATTTTGTTTTTGTTTTGCAGAAAGGCTAAAGGGCGCTGAAGTGTCTGGCTGCGGCTCCGTCGCCCTCAACGGCGAAGTGGTTTACAGCGACGCGTTCGGTCAGTTTTATTTAATTTATTTATTTATTTATTTATTTGTTTGTTTATTTGTTTGTTTGTTTGTTTATTTGTTTATTTATTTGTTATTTATTATTTAATTCGATTTAATTGGCTGTTTGGTCCATTTGCTTGGTTATTTGGTGACTTTAGTTGCTTTAATTCGCTGAATTTGTTCTTTTTGGTTAATTCCTCTTTGGCGCTTTCCGGCTTTTTCAACTCCCGATTTGCTGCAGCTTTCGCCGGCGCTCGCTGAAGCAGCAGCAACAGCAGCAGCTGCTGCTGCTGCTGCTGCTGCTGCGGACTTGGAGAATATTTTTTTCTCTTTTTTCGGCTTTAATTCGATTAAATAATTAATTTAATGCGGATTTATTTGTTTATCTTTTTAAGAATATAATACTGTTCTCTCAAAGGCGAGTAGATAAATACTTGTCTCTAATTAGGCAGTTAGTTGAGGACATGCACACTTGCTTCCGCAGTGTCTGTACACTGCTGCAGTCGAAAAGACTTTTCAAGTTTCTCTTTAAAATAAAATGAAGAAAAGGTTTTTAAACATCAAAAAGAGTTAAAAAGAATAAAAGAAAACAAAAAACAAACTCAAGAAGGGGATTTAAAATGTCAGAAAGAATGAAAAAGAATAAAAAGAATTCAAAGGATAAAAAGAATTAATTTTAAAAATTCACTTTTTATTATTTTAAATTTGAATCGGCGCCTCAAATCAAATTCAAGATGAAGTCAAACAGCAAAACTCTTTCCAAGTTTAATTTCGGACTTCATATTTAAATGACTTTCTCGAATTACCTATTTAAAGTTGTTTTGATGCGGAAAAAATGAAACCGAATTTAAATTTGAAATAATAAAACTGAATTTAAATTTGCAGATTTGTTTTGAAGTCCGCAAACTAGAAGTGGCCGGCTGTCTGTCCAGCTTTCTGAGATGCGCCGATTCGCAATAGAAAATGAAATGAAATGAAAGTGAAATGGAATTAAATTAAATTGAAGTTAAAATGAAATGAAATTAAAATGAAATGAAATTAAAATGAAGTTGAATTGATTTGAAGTTGAATTGATTTCAAATTCCTCCAGTCTACACTCAGATCTTGCGAGGCAACCCGCACTGGCGGCGAGTGGCTAGGTGGAGGCTTGGCTGGGGGGGTGGGAATTTGAAGAGTTGAATTGGAATTGAAGTTTCGAATTATTTGAATTAAATTTAATTTGATAATTTGAATTTGAATTCAATTCTAAACGAACGCTTCGCCGCCGCTTTCGCGCGCTTTCCACAAGTGACCCTACGGCTTGCAGCAGCAGGCGCACGCAGCAGCAGCAGCAGCAGCATCGAACCATCTGTGTGGCTGCTGCTGCTGCTGCTGCTGCTGCTGCTGCTGCTGCGTCTGTTTCTTTTCTGTTTGCCTGAGAGCGAAAGTTTTTCTTTTTTTGTTTTATTTACTTCGAAAGTTCACGAAGAACTGCCCGGCGAGCTGAACTCCGCAGAACGCCCCTGAGCCACAATGAACGCCGGCGCTGCAGATCTCGCGTGGCTTCCTGGCGACGCCGACGGTGAGCCGCTGCAGCTTCTTTTTGTCTCCATCAATTTTCAAATTTGAAATTAATTTATTTTTCAACTTCAGTTTATTTCAAATTTGCAAATTCGCGCCGGAAAAGGCCCCGGACTCCCCGCGAGAGGCTCCAGCGGCGGTGCCCAGCCCCCAAGAACAGACAGCGCTGCCGAATTCAAGTTTCTTTTGAATTAATTCCACTTTTCCGAATTTTTAAAGTGTTTCTGCTTCAATTTTTCAAAATTAAAAGCTCCTTTCAAAAGAATGAATCCTTTTTCCCGCGCTTTCCGCGAATCTGCACGAGCCAAGCAGCAGCTCTTCTCGAAACTTGAACTGAACACAACTTGAATGCTGCTTTCTCGGCTGTCTGCAGCGCCTCTGGAGCAAAACTGACATCAGAATGCATCATTTGAACAGATATTTATTTATTTGTCTTCAAATAGGAGGCCGAGAGGCTTCAAAAGGCTCTTAAAATGCCCTTTTCCCCTTTTTCTGCTGCAGAACAGTTGGCCCTTGGACTCCGCATCGTCTCGAACTCCTACAAAAATCGCGTGCAAACGGCCGACACGGAAATTCGGCAGCTGAAGGCGCAGCTGGCGGAGAGGGGAGAGCAGGTGGGAGTTGGCACGCTTTCACCGAAATTGGGAACATTTTGTTGAACTTTTGAAAGAAAAATGAAGAAAAAGAACACTTAAGAGAGTCCCAGGCCTCATTAATATCATTTTGTTGATAATAAAAGTACTTTGTTGAATTTTTTGAAAAAATAATTTAAAAAAGACTCCAGAGCCTGATATCTGAACTCAGGGCCTTCCCTGTGCACCAAAAGCGAGCACAGCAGCAAAAGATAGATGATTGAGAAGCTGCTTTTCGATATTTCCGCATTTTAATGTTCAAAATCTCTTAGTTTGCATGCATTATTTGTTGTAGATGCCTTTATTTGCATGCAAAAACGCTTTCTAAATCTCAAATTGATCTATTTTGTGCGGATTTCGTTCAGGTTTCGAGTTTGCAAAAGAAATGCAGCGCCCTGGAAGTTCAACTTATTGAACAGACCCAAAGAGGCAACCAGCTGGTGGAGGAGAACAAACAGCTGATCGCCACCACTCGAAAAGTGCGGCTAAAACAAGAAAAAAGATCAAATTCAACAGTTTAATTCAATTTAATTCAATCTAAATTCAATTTAAGTTTTATTTAATCTCAAATGCGAAAAGAGCTGCAAAATAACCCGCTTTCTCTCCTCCAACTCCGAGAAATACGAAATGCAGCAAATCTTGCAAAGTCGAAACTCATTCATTCCTTATCTGCGGACCCTTCTTAATTCCCTTTATTTTATTTCTTTTTCATTTATTTTATTTTATTTTGTTTTATTTTGTTTTATTTCATTTTGTAATGTTCATTTATTCTTTTCAGCTGCAAAAAGATATTCAGCGTCTGGAAAACCTGAAGAAAGCTGTTTTGACTTCCATTCAAGAAGACCGGCCCGAGGCCGACGACTCAAGCCCAGTGAGTCTGCAGCGGCTTTAGCTCCTCGTCTATTTCCTCCAATATAATCCGAAATAAAAATAATGTTTTGAATTTAAATTGCTTTTTCGCAAAGTTTTGTTTTTCTCGAGAATGGACTCGCGGGGAATTCAGCGCACAATAGGTGCGGGGGCTGAAGGCGCCTCGAGCAACTTAGTGCAACTTTTGTTTGTATTTTTCTCTAATTATTTATTTTTATGTTCTTTCAATGCAATCCTTTTGTTTCCACACCTTTAAATCATCTACTTTCCCGTTTTTAAAATGTAATTCTCTTGTTTGAACACTTTAGAAGTATTTATTGTTTGTCTTTTTGTTTTCATTTCCAGTTCGGAAGTGCCGAAGCCGCGTTTCCAGCGACAGCCAGGCGGACAGTAGCGGGTCAGGCGAACTCTCCCTCGAGCCGTACGAAATAAGAGAGAAAGCGGGGCGAATAGCCCCACCCAAGCATCCAGAAATGATTAATTAATTAAATTAGTTATTTAATTATTTAATTCTTTCCTTTTTTCCATTTTTTCCGCTTTAACTCCAGAAATCAGCTCCATGGAAGACGCCGCCTTGAAGGGCGTCCGGCTGGACTTCCGCAGAGCTGGAACGGCGCACGGAACTGTGTGAGACGGCCGAAGGACTTTTCAAATAAAGTGGAATTTAAAGATTCAAACTATAAAATGTTGTTTATTATTTTCATTTAATTATTTATAATGCCAAATTCAGCGAATATAGTCACAATTCAAATTGTTTATTCAACTGTTTGTTACTTTCTTGCACTGACGCTGATCTGAGTTGCTGAAAAAGAAGCTAGAAGAAGCGCCGAACTGGGGGTTTTCGGAAGTTTCTGTTTGAAATGGTCCATTAAGTTTGAATTACTTTATTTTAATTATTTTAATTGAAATTAAAATAAATAAATTCAACAAATATATTTCATTTCTTTTCAGTCTCACGACGCATGAAGACCCTTCCGCCAACGCCGACGGGCGCGCGTTCTTCCGGTGAGTGACAGACACACGACAAGCAGCAAGTGCAGAGAGCCCGCGATCAAGTGGAAAGCTACATTTTAACGAATTTATTCTGCAATTATTTCTAAAATGCATGCACTAAAACACAAATTGTGTTGAAATTAGCGAAATAAATGGCTAGAATGCGCTTTGAAGCGCATGCGAACTCCCCTGAGTTTCTTCTTTGCTGCTTCCGCGCTGCAGAGCCGCCCGCAGCCGCTTGTCCTTCGAAACCTTTAATGCCTTTTTGGCGAACATCAAAAGACTAAATAATCAGCAGCAAGATCGAGAAGAAACACTGAGGACTGCTGAGAGGCTATTTGGTGCGTCGGGTGACCAGTGGTCCGGTCCAGTGGTCTCTTGCTGCTTCGCTGCAGCAGCAGCAGAGCCAGCTGCGCAGCAGCGAACCTCCAACTTTGCTGCTGCTTCCTTGCGCTGCAGGCGAAGCAAATGCAGATCTTTTCGAGGACTTCAAGACTTTGCTGACTCGCCACGCTTGAGTTTAAAGACAGATATTTGAGCAGTTAAATCCACTTTTAATTTGCTTCTCAACTCGATTTGAAGTTGCAAATGCAGCAAAACACAAACTCTACCTGCTGCTACTGCTGCAGCAGCAGCAGCTGCAGCAGCAGCAGCTGCAGCAGCAGCAGCTGCAGCAGCAGCAGCTGCAGCAGCAGCAGCTGCAGCAGCAGCAGCAGCAGCAGCAGCAGCTGCAGCAGCAGAAGACACTTCCCCAGGCCCTCTCAAAGGAAATATTCCAACTCCAATTCCAATTCATTTTTCATTTTTTTGTAAATTTGAATTAATTAACTTCCCAGCGTTTGCAACTTCGCCTTTGCCAGCTCAGCACTTCGCCATTTTATTTACTTTCGAAACAAAAGACCAACTGTTCAAAACGGAAAGAAGAAACAAACAAAAGTAACAAATAAAAAGAAACAATAAATCCAAATAAAGGACAATTAAAGCAACAAATCAAACAAAAAGAAAAAGTAAATAAAAATAAAAACGTAAATTTAAAAAGAAAAAGAAAACTTGAACGCGAAAGTTTCAGGTCAGCCCAAAGGCAGCAAATTGCAACTTGCAAGAATGGTGTCTTTCTGAAAAGCTAAAATAAATAAAAATAAATAAATCAAATTGAATAAATAAATAAATTAATAAATAAAAGAATAAAAAAGAAATAATAATTCCGAATTGAGACTTCGCCGTTGTTGGCCTCACTGGGCCTCCGGCGGCCGAAGAAGTTCAACTGCAGATTTTGTTGGAGTTAAATCTAAAAGACTAAAAAGGAATTAATTCATTTAATGAATTAAATAAAGGAATTAATTCATTCAATTAATTAAACAAGGGAATTAATTCATTCAATTAAAACAAATGAATTAATTCATTTAATGAATTAAAATAAAGCAATTAATTCAATTAATTGATTAAATAAAAGAATTAATCCATTTAATGAATTAAAATAAAGGAATTAATTCATTTTCGAGCCACTGAAACGAATCAATTCATTTTAATTTGATTGATCAAATGGGTTGGTTCATTTTAAGGGCTAAAATGAAGTATTTCATTTCATTTCAAATGCTCTAAAGTGAGTTGGTTTATTTTAATGGTTAAAATGAACCAACTCACTTTATTTCAATCGTTGAAATGAATTAATCTATTTAATTTTATTTGTTAAAATGAACCAATCCATTTAATCACCAATTCATATTATTTCAACTGTTGAAACGGATGAATTCGCATTATTTTAATTGTTGAATAAATCAGTTCATTTCATTTTATTTCTAAAATGAATTAATTCACTTTATTTTAATTGTTAAATGAATTAGCTCATTCTATTTTAATCCTAAAATGAATTAATTCATTTTATTTTAATTCTAAAATGAATTAATTCATTTTATTCTTTCAAATTCGATGAGCAAATCCCCCTAAGTTTTTGCTGCCCTTCCCTTTGAGGAGCTGCTTTTGCATTTGGCGGGCTTTCCGTTTCGTGACAACAAGACTGGCGTTGTTCTGCAGCAAACAAAACAGAAAAATGAAATAAATTCAAAATTAAATTCAAAACTAAATTCAAAATTGAACAAATTAAGTTCAAAACTGGGACAAATAAAGTTCAAAATTGAAAAGAAATGAGAAAACGCAAAGCACCCGCGCCAACCCCGCCAGCGCCAGCTGTCTGTACACCCCAGCAGCAGGTCACCCACCTGCCCCCCGCCGGCACTTCCGATCACTTGCATTAAATCTGCGTCTTCTTCGAGTTCCCGGAGCACATCAGCGGGGTTCATTTGCGTTTTCTTCCCTTTCCTGCTGCTGCTGGCTGCAGCTGCTGCTGCAGGTGCTGCTGCTGCAGGTGCTGCAGCTGCTGCTGCTGCTGCTGCTGCGCTGCTACGCGGCGCCGCGATCTTGGCCTCCAGGGACTCGCAAACTGCTGCCAGGAACTGCTGCGCCCCTGCTGCTTCTGCTGCTGCTCCGAAAACAGCCCCCGAGGGCTCGCGGCAGCAGCAAAGTCTCCCCGCGGAGAAGTCCCGCAGCAGCAGTTTGGCCACGCGGTGTAAGTCCAGCTGCCCGCCTCTGCCCCCCGACATGAAGTGCCGCTGCGCTGCCACGCTAGCCAGCAGCGCTGCAGCTTCCACGCGCGCCCCCTGCTGCAGTGGACCACTGGTCCCCCCAACGCTGCTGCTGCTGCTGCTGCTGCTGCTGCCGCTGCTGCTGCTGCTGCTGCTGTAGGGATTCAGCTTCAGCGCAGACCGGTATGCCTCCGGCGAAATCCCGTAGTGGCGGATCAGCGAGTAGGGAATGGAGTCGCAAATTAGCTGCACTGAAGCCAAATAGTCTCCGCTGGCAAACAAAAACAAAAATAAATAAATACAAAATTAAATTAAAAAAAGATCCGCAAAAATAAACCCGAAATGCGAAAAACGCGAAGAATCTGCAAATTCAAAAACGGCACGCAGACGGTCCAAGTGCTGGGGTGTACGTACACCGCAGCACTGCAGAGGCAGCAGCTGGAAATGTTTATTTTTTGTGGGAATTCTTTTGAAAAACGAAATAAAAGTATTTTAATCTTCAAAGGAAATAAAAGTACTTTAATCTTCAAATGAAACAAAGAAGTTGCATTTACCGCATCTCGTCAACTGGCACAACTCCGTGCAGCACCAGCAAGTGCTTCGACTTCACCGCCTTTGGAAACACCAGACCTGAAAAATAAAAGCAACTCAACTGTGCAGCAGCAACACAACTGCCCTGCTGCAGCAAGCTGCAGCAAGCTGCAGCAAGCTGCAGCAAGCTGCAGCAAGCTGCAGCAAGCTGCAGCAAGCTGCAGCAAGCTGCAGCAAGCT